CAAATTTTGCCTTAAATACTTCCTCAATCCGTAAGGCCAAAGTGAGGAGAAGAAATAGCTAAGGTAAAGCTCCTATTGTGAAACAAAAACTTTAAAAAATCAAAGCTTTAAGAGTGAGAGTTGTGAGAAACAAAACATGGGAATTACAGCATAACACCTGTGTTTCCTCTTAAGCCAATTTCTTCAAATCGCCGAGTTTCATCTCAACTCAGCTTTTGAAATATTGCATATCTACTTATAAAAGTAACAGATCAAAATCATAAAGGAACTTCAGAGAAAAGAAGAAGAAAAATATCACTATAAAATCATGTCACCTTGAATCAGCATTTTTGAAACCTTTTTTTTTTCTTAGTCACTGGACTTACTTGCCTGGCGTGGGTCTCGTTCACACCGAGACATAGTTAAGCGCACGCATCAGTTCAGTCACTTCTAATAAAGCAACATCCCTTTCTGCCAAGCCATTTCACTTCCTATGATCTTTACTTTGCATGAAAGAAATCCCAGTAACACATAATATATAATCATTGTCATTTTAAAGATTTTTTAATTGCAAACATTGTAGTAAATAATGTCTCACTGTTTTTAGAATAAATCTAACCCAAAAAATAGGCATATGTATACTTTTGTCTTATAAGTTTAACAAAGAAAAAAAAGAAATGACTACAAATAAATACTTACATTTGATTTGTTTTTCATATTGAAGACAGGCTGACATTAAGCTTCCCAAATCCATAATAAATACCTGTTTCACAATCAGGCTCTTGCCCCAGACCTCTCCTTCAAACTCCAAACTCCATTGATACGGAAAATAGTATCAGAAATAATATCCAATTCTCTGTGTACATCAATGGTTATAGTGCTTTTTTTTTTTTAACACACAAATGTGAATTGAATTATTAGGCATGTAAGGAAAATAAGCAGCCAGATATAAGTTTTATGAGATCTGTTGTGTTAAAGCAACTTTACTTTTTGATTGGTAAGCTTTTAAAGAGAGATGTGGTTCTCCAACTCCAGGGAAAGAGAAGGGTACCATAAGTGACAGGTTAGAGGAAAAGAAAACTAACATTTATTGAGCACCTCCTATGTGCCAGGTACCATTCTGGGCATTTTCCTTATGTTTCCTCATTTAAGTCTCACTGTGATCTTGTGGAACTGTGTTCTTCTCGTTTTACAGATAAGGTAACTGAGACACAGTGAAGTTCAAGAACTTCCCACAGTTGTGTGGCTAATAATAGTAAGTGTAGGAGTTAGTTGTCTTATTCCAACACCCATTCAAACCTTCAAATTTAAGTTATTCTGTCTTCCTTTTGCTCAAAATCAATGTGTTTTGTTCTCTAATTGGCAAGACTTTAGAAAATATGGCTTTTTTTTTAAAGGTAGGGGGCAGTTTTAACAGCATGGACCAACTTTGTTAAGTATTTTTACAAACTGTTAACTGGAAATATTTGAATTTAGAGATGGAACTGAAATGTCCTTGAGGAACTGGAGCAGATTAAGTTATCATATTAACAAAGGACACAGCTAAGAACATGTTTTAAATCATTCCACTAACTCAAAGTTTTATTGACTAAAACTTCAGTGGGCAGGTATGTTTATGTTTACGACATTGGCATTGGCAATAAATTAAGTCAAATTCATTGATATGTGTTTAGCATTTTGTCTATGATTCTGGTGATCCGAAGGCTTCTGAGCTGAGACTAATTTCCTCAAAGGGAAAAAAAATTCCAGGTGTAAATTGAGACTTTAATCTTGGGATTGAGAAAGGCGGCTCTGAAGGAGCGTCAGCTTTTAGCAGCAGCAGTTGCAACACCAGGCATAGAATCAGCTTGCTTCAGGTCTCTTGGTTAATAATCACGGGACATGATTCAAACTCAAGTTCAGCTCACTGCGTAAGCCCATGTTTTCCCTGCCATGTTCTGCTTTGTTATGTGAACACAACTCTATTCAGACTTACAAAAAGACCTAATTCTAAAATACCTATTTGAGGGGTGAGGCTAGATGGTTTAACACAGCAAAGAGATATCCAGTTTCCTGTGGGGAGTTTGATGGAAGAAGAAGACTTATGTATCAATGTGGGAAAAGTAAATATTTATCTTTGTTTTGGTTGTTTCTTGAGCTCTCCCTTTCCTTAGGTGATAGACTTGGTTAATGACCACGCATCTTTTGGTGATGAGGATCTCTGGGAGCTCTTTTCTGCTCATTAAATGATTCTCGTGGCTCAGGAGCCAGTTGGAACTTAAATAAATGGCTCAATTATTAAAGTCCCATGAGCTCTGCATTCATTTCTAGAGGGGGATAAGACACCGTTTGTATTTATATGCAGCTTTATAGTTGAGTTAAACTTTGTACCCCATTCTGCTCTATTTTCAAGCAGAATATTTCCAAAGAGGATAACTAGTCTTAACCTTTTTTTCCTACTTGAGCCCATTGAGTCCTTCTACTCACTACACCATGACTCAAAGGTTACCTTTACAGAAGTAGGACAAGATAGATATGCTGTCCCCTGTAGTCACTTTGTCCATCCTCGCCTCTGGTGGAGAGGGTCCTAGGACACAGTACGTTGAAGGTTACATTGTGAGAGATGAATAGCATTTGCAAAGACCTTTTTTGCCTTGTAAATGCTCCATTCTAAGGAAAACAATGTGAGCATCAGGGTTAAATGGAGCTCATTAGCTCAACCTCCAAGGATGCCATCAGGATGAAGTTGGGACCCTGACAGGAGTATAGGAGGGAGATACGGGGAGATGGAAATGAGAGAAACAGGTGCCTATGTAAGTAGAGATCAGCAAAAATACAAAGGCAACCCTCGGGGGAAAGTAAAGGAGTCTTTGCACATCCTCAGAACTCTGAGTATCTCAGTGGTGCTGCAAATATGATTCGGTCTTAATGATAACGGACAGAACCCGTCCTGCCAGATTGTGTCCACATGAGGATGTGTCTTTGCTGAACGTGCCAACATCACTGAAACAGAGACTGAGGGTTTTCTTCAAGATCTAGGTCTTTTTTACATATCTGCCCCAACCTTTTTCTTCTTGCCCCTTCATAGGTCGTGTTCCATACGCTAAACAATTTGAGGAACCCAAATGGGCAGTATTCTCTTATGTCTCATTGCCTTGCATTTGGTTTTCCCTCCACCAGCAAAGCCGTCTCATCGGTCTTTTGTCTTCTCATCACCAATGTAGGTCACAATTTTCAAATTGCTTCTTCAGAAAACTGTCATTCGTCACAACTGCATCAGAGGTCCTGTTTATTTGCTTTCATAACTTCCTGTAATTATCTGTATTGGAACACTCGTCATTGTATTTTACTTGTTCCTGCAGCTAATTGTCCATATTCCACAGTAGACTGTGAATACCTTGAAGCCAGGTACTACATCTCGTTTACACGGTATTCACATCTACTACAATTCCTGCCATCAGCAGATGATAGGGATAGAATGAATAAACGGATAATTATGTTTCTGAAATAGTAGTGTTAAAAACAATAACAACTGCATTATGTAGAATAAACATTTACTTTGCTACAGAAGATAAATAATCTAACCCGTGCAATACTCTGTCCTCACATCTTAGGTTGGTTGGAGGAAGACAAAGAAACACAACTGCTCAGAAACTGACTAACATTTTCGGAAAGTATTTGAAAATGGCATTCCCCCTCCACAGTGTGTTTACAGTGTGGGTGAACGCACTGCTCTATTGCACTTCCTAAAGACGAAGAAAAGGATTAAATCAAGTTGAATTATTTATAAAGTGTGTACTTGCCCAGAGGGGGACAGACTCGTGCTAATGTAAGGTCCCTTCCTTGGTGTTCCTTATCAAAGGAAATCCTTTCTTAAAAAGACTTTTCTTTAGGAGTCTAGCCATCTTTTTATACTCATATAAATTTCTTACTCCATCCCTCTTGTTAGTGATTGCAGATACTCAGAGGATAGTTTTGGTTGCCTTGGATAAGGAGCATAAAGCCAGGGTGACTGAACCAAAGTTTGGACCCAGATGCTCTTCTCACTAAGCTTACACTGTTGGCGTTCCCATTAGAGAACACTCATCCCCACCGGAACCGAGTGGTCCCAGTGCATCACTTCCCAGAGCGCGAACAAACCTCAACTTTACAACTTAAGTGTCCTTGAACGGTGTCCCTACATGGCATGTGCTGTTCCTTTCATCTTCCTCTATTGGAGTCGTCCTACCCTTCGACACCCTGCTCAAAATGCTTTTGGGAGATTCTACCCCTATGGCCCTGGCTGGAATTAATATATTGTCAATAGTACCACTTTTCTACTCTGTAATCGAGTCGGTTCTTATGTGGCTTTCTTCTTCTGATAGACCAAACTCTTCAAGAGTAAGTACTTAGTCTTATCCATCTCTTTACCCCCCACATTACTCAGAAAGTGACTCAATAAATCTTTGTGGAACTGAATTATTTCCATATGCAGCAGGTGAGCTCTTTCATGCCATTCACATGCATTGGGAAACCAGATCTTTTCAAAAGTTGTAATATACTCCTTGAGAGCAATAACAATTCCTGGAAACTGTTTAAAATGCTTAGAAAAGGACTTATCATAATTTCCAGCCCCTGATAAAAATTGTTGCCTAGCTTACCTTCACGATCATTATAGTACATATCATTTACTCAAATAAACATCATGCCATAAAAAGAATAATCAACAATGACTTTATTCTAACAGCTGCCACTCTGTCGCATAGCACTACGATAAGGTTATCTACAAATAAAAAGGAATACAATTGATAATAATGTATGAAACTGGGGAACTTGTCACTAAAATGAAATTACTTTAAAGATCAAAGAAACTTTTATCACGCTGAATGTTTGAGAAGGAACCAATGGAGGAAGTCTGATGACTCAGGTTTGGCCTCAGGAGACAGGCTGGGGTTGTTGCAAATTGTGGAATTTCCTCTGACATAATGAAAAGATGAGGGCGCACTTGTTCTCTAGGGTTGCGATAATATAAAAAGCCACCGGAGCGTTCCTTTCAGCAGAAACCCTCAGAGACAGCAGAGCACACGAGCTTCTAGGACAGAAGCCAGCGAGAAACCACAGGAAGGAATCATCTCACTTGGTGTAAACATGACTCCCAAGCTGGTCGTGGCTCTTTTGGCAGCCTTCGTGCTCTCTGCAGCTCTGTGTGAAGGTGAGTGCATCTTTCCTACCTATAGAGTTTCTCCGTGTCTGACTGTGCTCCTCAGATAGCAAGGCTGTCCTTAATGCTTTGATAACAGACTGCCTCTTTATTCAGAGCAGAAAATAATCTTTGCAGTCAATTAATGTTAAACTGAAGGGATTTTTTAAGGCTGTATTTATACAACACTTAGGAAAGTATAAAGTTGGATCAATATAGATATTCTATGTCTATAAGTCATACTGTGTAGTATGCATATATTTAATATAAATTAGTAATTTACAGCATATCCTATTGAGGGCTACAGTTACCTATATTATCTATTAATATGGAGTAAAGTAACTCAGATAATTCTACTCTATCTAGTATTTTCTTGAAAAGCCTCAGACACTATCGATTCCTGTTTGGTTTAAAGATACCCTCATTATAGACCATTTCAGATCTGTACAATTCATTTATATGTTTCTATTAATTCTTTCTGAAGGCAACTTTTACATTGGAGAATGTTAGTTTCCTACTTAGTTTTGACAGCACCGTGGTATCCCAGAGGAACATGCAATGTCTAGTGAAAGAGAAAAGTACCATGAGGATGTCAATATTGCACAAAGATGACTCCAACCCTTTAGGGAGAGAGTCATTCAATAGCGTCCATAATAACTGTTTTTAAAACAAAGAACAAAATTGAGGTCAAAGGCTAGGAGGCTATGTGGCCCTCAATGTTAGCAATGGCTTTGCTGGAAGCGTGATGCTTCCCAGCGTTCCCAAGTAATCATACTGAAATTAAAGAGGGTGTGGGGACCAGAGTTGTGCCTGTCGATGAAATCAATCCTTAATTACTCCTATTTTTTTTCCCCGCAGCTGCAGTTCTTGCAAGGATGGGCACAGAACTTCGATGCCAATGCATAAAGACGCACTCCACGCCTTTCCACCCGAAATTTATCACAGAGCTGAGAGTGATTGAGAGTGGACCACACTGTGAAAATTCAGAAATCATGTAAGTACTTCCTAAGTGCATTATTCATTTTTCTTTAGCAATCCTGTCATTGAGGAAGGTGCAAGTGATCAGGAAAGTTCTAGGTGCTAGAAATGTAGTAGTGAGCAAAACAAAACAAAAATCGTTGTCTACGTGACATTTACATACGGTACCTTCCCTGCCAAGTAGCTGGAGGTTGCTTTGGACTTAGATTTTGTGCATGTATTTAAGAAACCATGATTTGAATGGGAAAGATAAATATTGATTTGAATTATCTCTCTCATTTCAGTGTCAAGCTTGTCGATGGAAGAGAACTCTGTCTGGACCCCCAGGAAAAGTGGGTGCAGAAGGTGGTGCAGATATTTTTGAAGAGGTAAGTTGTTTTTTATTAATTTAAATTCTTCATCCAGCTTGAGACATATAGTCCAAAAGTCAGCCTATAAATTTCCTGCTTCTGCAAATCTCTTTTAAGTATCTGCCTCTTTGATTAAAAAAAAAAAATTAGCAATAGTGAGTTTGTTGGATTCATGACTGGGAAGACCATGCATCTCAGTTTGTCCAGCGCAGTCTGAGTTCATGCCTGTGTCCTGTATCATCAGGAAATTTCCTTTTCATCCTCATGTGCGTCCTGTTTTAGATGATAACTTATCCAGTCTCCCTGTTTATACTTGAAAACATAGAGCATTTCTAACACATGAATACCTAAGACTGTCTTAAGTTTTCCAGAAAATATATTTCTAAGACCCCTACTTTCCTCCTTATTAGATCATTGTTAATCTCTAAATTTTTCATTTCATTTCATTTATTTTTAGGGCTGAGAAGCAAGAATCATGAAAAAAAAACATGCATTCTCCATACTATCCAAGAATTCCTCAGTAATGATGCCAATGAAACTTCAAACAAATCTACTTCAGCACTTCATGTATTGTGCGGGTCTATCGCAGGGTTGCCAGATAAAATACAAGATGCCTGATTAAATTTGAATTGCAGTAAAACAATGAATAGTTTTTCCATTGTACCATGCAAAAATATTGGACAAACAAATTTAAAACATTATTTGTTTCAATCTCCACCAG